TAGAAGTGTTTGAAAAGGTAATATTGCGATAGCAAAGCCATATAAATGATCTTTTTTCATTTCCCAATATAGTTGAAAATATCTAGGATAGAGTTGAACACCCTGTATAACTTATAAGAGCCATGGGAATTACGGTTGGCGGGAAGAGCAAGTTAACGTTACGGAAAGAAGAGAATTTTGGTTTTTTTTTTTTTTCTTTATCCACGTCCGCTCATGTTCGCCTTTCGAAATACATTCGTCCTCTGTTAAGGCGCCGCCAAGGGCTTCGTTTCAGGGAAGCTCACGCGTTTGAGCCTTTGTGACCTGGTCCCTTCTTGCTCCTACCGTGCAACCATCGAGCAAACATCTGCTGCTGCTGCTGCTGCTGCTGCTGATGCTGCTGCTAGTGTTCCTACTTTGGTTGCTGCTGTTACTGTCACCGTTCTATCTGTCTTACTCTTTCTCTCTTTCTAATTTTTTTTTTTTAAGTCTCAGTGTATTGGGTTACTCAGAAGGTTGATGTAGATTTAGATTTTTAATGTAACATTGTACATTTGTTTTTGTTTTTTTTTGATCATTCAATCAGCTAAAACTTTTTCTTACGATTAATGAATAATATTATTCATTTAAAAATATCAAATCCATTTGAGAAATTATTGCATCAAGGAGCATCCCTCTCGTAGACTGACAAGTACAAATAACTTCGTCGACAAGACATTTGAATTTTGAATTCTATTTATAATACTCTGACGCATCTTTTTTAACAACTCTCCTATAAACTCTTCTTCGTATATTATCAATAATTAGAAATAATTATTTACACGAATGAAATATCGATGAGAAAGATGTTTGAAGGAATTTGATATAAACTAACACGGTAGATATTGTTTTTCATAGAATGACGAAGAAGAAATATCGGGTATCGGGAAATTGTGAAAGTTTCTTTCTTGAAACATCGCACGAGTTTATTCGCTTCGATGACCACTAATGAAAGAAACCACCAGGGAGAAAATCATTGACGCAGATAACGAAACGTTCACATGCCTTTTGAATTTCAAAAAAAAGTCTCGGTCGTGCCCTGGGAAAAGAAAGTCAAACAACAACACGAATATACAGTGTTGCATATACGTATTATACTTCTGTATACACTTATACATATAGAGACCTTCTTGTATTTTCTTTTTCTTTCCCCCAAAGGAATCACACCGGCGTTATATTATATCGTACTGTGCTTTATTACATCTATTCTTTTAGAGTTAGGTATCTCTTCGTAGACATTAAAAAAAAAAAAAAAAAAAACAAGGATCTAACATGTGGTGCATATGGTGCATTTATGTATTTTGTAAGAAATTCCTTGGTGCAATGTTTGTGAATAAAAAATTCCGCATTGAAAAAACCATGAATTTCTTCAAAATATCTTAACACTTTAATGGCAGCACGTCTAATCTACGTTTTTCCGTGTTGCACCGCTATTTATATATATATTACTTTATAATTAATATATTAATTTATATATATAATTAATATTAATATAATATATATATATTAATACTAATATAATATTAATTATAATATTATCCTACTATATAATATAATACTATATATAACTAATATAATATAAATACTATATATTATATTACTATATAACTATATAATATTAATACTAATATATATTAGTATTAATATATAGTATATAATATATTAGTATATTAGTATTATATTTAGTATATTATATTATAGTAATTTCATATTATAGTAATTAGTATATAGTAAAATTATAATAAATAATAATATATTAATATTATAGTATTATAATAATAGCACCAACGTGGAGTCATCGGACGTCATAGTGTTAATAAACAACGTTGAAAAAATAATGTTGCGACGATTACCCAAAATATCCTGTGTGTGTGTGTGTTTTTCCTTTTTTTATTTTTTTTCCGTTGGTGAGAATGATTACGAAAAACTGTTAAGTGGATAAAGATCGTCATAGAAACTTGACTCGATCGAATAAATTAGAAGCGTGATACGTAAATAAGTTATTCGAGACGCGTGCCATCTTCTTCTTGCCCTTTCACCGGCGCTCGAGTCAACTCGTAAAGCGTCGCACGTTCCCTAAACGTATAATTATGCATGGCACGGGCCTTTTCCTTGAGTAGGTATCGCACGAACATCATCGGATGAAGATCGTGTGGCGCGAACGTCGCGACTATGCTTCCTTATCGCGACACGATATCTTTTTTTCTTTATTTTTTTCTTCATTTTGTTTTTTTTCTTTATTTCATTTTATTTACTTCATATATCCGGGACGAGAGAAAATGTGAACAAACATTTTATTATATTTTATATTATTAGTTGCAACAAATTAGTTCTTACTGATTACAATTAACCTACTCAACAATTCTCATCAATTATTTCATATTTTATTGTGATATATATTAAAAGATGTTTTGTACAAACGAACGGTGTTGCATTGGTGCATCAATTGCACCACCATTTATTAATTTCATCCAATATTTATTATCCCAATATTTTCATACTCTTTAAATTCACATTAACTTGAATTATTTACTCGAACAAATGTTTGATTAACTTAGAAGAAAAATATATTCTCATCTAACAAAAATTATAAACGACTGAACTTGAATATCATAATTGTGCATCTAACCGATACAAATACTTGAATACATTTTATTCATAAATCGTATAGTACTCGATCAAATTCTATCTAAAGGAAAAAAAAAAAAACAGAAAAAGGAAAAATGATGTGTATACTATTTAAGGATATTTTTACCATCGATACCTTTTCTATTGAACCACACGATATTCAAGTGTAAAGCAAATACATCGAGAAAGTACTGCAAATACACGGGGGTATAAATAAATACTATGAGAGAAAGAGAATGCTTCAGAATCTATTCAAGATGTCTAGACTTAAATGACTTTCGTAAAAGAGAAAGAAGAACGAACGAACTACCATGGACATACTAATTCATCTTCCTACAGTATATATACGTGCGCAATTTTAAATCATTTCAAACAGGTATGTCCAACACCATTCACGAAACAAAATGTTTTCTTGGGACAAACTATAAACCAAAGAAAAATTTTATTATTCCTACAATAATTGTCAAACTCAAAAAACAAAACAAAAAAGTTAATTACTAATGTATAATCTGTTTGTTTAAAAGGAAATTTATTTATGATTTTATAATCGAGCTGTGCATTCGTTTATTATTAAAGTGCAAGATTATGCGTGGCCCGGGGTCCGCTCGTAGAACAGGCTCCACCCCTCCCCCCCCACAATTTAAAAGGAACACACACGCGCACACCTATACACACGCATGTACCTTTCGATTTCTTATCGCGTTTCGTTTTGGGTATCTAAACGGATATATTTATTGGAAATGTAAGCGGCTTAAAAAGATACCAAATCTTACGACTTGAAATTTAGACGAATTTACATTTGAAATTGTCATTTATATGGGATTATATCCTATACATATATGGGAGTTTGTAATGTTTAACGATGGTTAGCCATTAAAGATAAGAAAAGAAAATTTGTTTGAAATGTAATAGAATTGATCGTTAGAAATAAAAGATAGATCGAATATTATTGCCGTGTCGTTTTAACACAAAATTCAGTCCCATTTGAGCACGTGTTTTTTATCCGCGTTCTATTTTACAGGACCCACACAACTCGTTTTACGGCTCGTGCTTTTACGATTTATTACTACACCTACGATAGGGCATATAGGTTGCTCAAGGATGTTAGAATTTACTAAAAAGGGTTCGCATCGTTCTTAGTTCGTTGTCAACCTTTACACTTTCATCTAAAACCGATTCTTTCTTTTTTGAAATATAAAAAATATTTCAATGTAAATAATTCGAAAAATTTAATCATTCTTATCCTCTTTCTTATTTTATACTTTTACGAGTCAAATAACGAGAATCAATTATTTAAATTGAAATATTATAAATTAGATCTAATAAAACATATCTATACAATTTTTAAAATATAATTATATAATA